AGGGAAAGTTGGCATCAGCTGCCAGGAGAACGTTACTTGTCTGGACTTCAGTTTCCATCATGCAATACCGCTGACTCACAATAACAGGGACAAAAAAGGGGTAGAAGAAAAGACACCACCAACAACTTCCACTTACTTTCTTGCCTCTATCCTGGCTTCAGAGTCTGCATCATGAATTCCCTTCTTTATCGTTTCAGCTAACACTGATATGTGTCTGAAATAAGAAGGAAAACATTATCCAGCAGTCCAGAAAGATGTGCCACACTTATAAACAAATGACTGATTTGATTTTGCCTTGGTCTCCAAGAATAAACAGTTCATCACATCCTCCCATTTCCATGTAACGTTCTTTGGAGCCTTTATTTATTTACACTTACAAGCCAGTTTTATTTCACCCACACTGCTGACTAGGAAAAGGCAAGCAGCATTCTTCACAGGTCAGTCTTTAGTTAGCTATTGAAACTGTCTGAGTGCTTAACCCTTAAATATTCTTGCACAGTCTAGGGCTAAGGAAATTGTGTCCCAGTTTCTTCTCTCACAATTACTTTCACTGTTCATTAGTCTGAAGTACAGTAGAAACCTCAGAAGCTCCTGATAATCATGTAGTAGCCTTCATCTCATCATCTCGCTTTAGGATGCAAAAGGAAAAAAAAAAATTAAAAACCTATTGAGTTCAGTGATTCACTCAGACAAGTTTTCCAAGGCTGGGATAGGAGACAGACTCACCACACTCTGCCAGAACTACAGGGATGAAAGGTGTATGTGCACATGCGTACATGATTTTTTTGTGGCAAAGAAAAGATCTACTAGAGCTACCTGGTATAATCTCACCTCCTAGATTATCGTTTCTCCAGAATTAATCTCCCCAAGCATAAGTAGGAGAGAATTAACCCACTGTTTTTCAAAGCTTACCTTTCTAGGGAGTGTGTTTGCCACTCCTGCAACAGCAAGTCTAAAAATTCAAAACAACGCCTAAGAGAAGAAAGAGAAGAAATGCTGAGTTCTCCAAGTTAGCAGAGGCACACCAACTTTGCCATACCTGTCTCCAAACAACAGCCATCTTTTGCTAGGAAGCTTTTTGGGACATTAGAATTCAGTAACACCACCGATAAAAAAACCCATCAACATCTCTACAAACTCCATAAATAAACAGTCTGAAGTAGTAACTGGAGTCAGCTCACTACAGGGAAGTCTGAAGAGAGGGTGTGACAGACACAATCCAGAAAGCCCCCTTTTTCATTAAACAGGATCCAGGCCCAGAAGATCCATGCTACTGATACTTTGTGCCTGTTAATTCAGGCTTCACATGGAAAATTCACATTTAGCTTCATGTGGAGACAGATCTTTTCAACTTTAATCTCCCTTCCTCATTTCAAGAAACTAAGGCGCAAGTGTGCTGTTATTTGTTCAAGGTTTGTCACCAAATTCAGCAAAGCAGCCCTTCTTTTTGCCGGACTAGGAGAGAACTAGGTAATCTACACGGACCAGGCAAGAGTCTCCCAGTGAGGCAGCGAACTGAAGTACACTTAGATTTTAAGTGCGAAGAGGACCATCAGCACATCCAGTACAACTCCCAGATGATGCTATCACAGAACACTACTTCTGCTGACTGGCCCAAAGAAAGTGTGTCACTATAACAGCTAGTAGTGGGGAATAGGAACATGTCTGTAAAGAAGCCAAAATAATATGATGTGACAATGTGAAAGCACAATGATTAGTTTAAAAAACATTTCTGTCTGCAGAAGAGTTCCTTTCCTTCTCTGCAGTGCTGCAGCTTATATAAGAATTTGATCCCAACTCCTGGGGGAGAACGAGATGTATCCTTTACTAAGATTATATATGAACCCTTTCATGAATAAAATCAAATACATCAATGTTATCAGAAAGTACACATGAACCTATTTACTGGTAAAAAAAAAAAAAAAAAGAGTAAATTAAAATTAAATGCTTACCTTCTAACTGCAACAGACTTGGAGGTACAATTGCTGGTTATGATGGGTATTAATCGAGGGATGTGCGTATGCTAGAAGAAAAACAAACAACAAAAACAAGAAGAAATCTTTACACCACAGCTCCACAGAATGAAAGGCCATCTCTTTCAGCCACCTGAGCCCAGTATGCAGATTGATTATTTGTGTTCAAGCCTTGAAAACAGAACTGCTAAATAAAAGAACACTAACAGATATGGACAGATATTTTTATTATTAAAAGTATTTTCTGGTTTATCTGTTAAAATATCTTTAACAGATTCTTTTTTCTTCTATAATGACAGGGTCCAGTGAGTCAAGGAGCCAAAATCACCGCAAGAGGATCTAAACTGTAAGTAGAGGCAACTTGAGAGAAATCACGCTATCTACAGCTTCCCCAACAAATCACTAGGCAGAATTCACCTCTGTGACCTAATGGTTTTAGGAAACGTGCACTGTCTGCGAGGAGTTTTAGAGTATAATTAAGAGGATGAGTCTGTCCTGCAAGGCAGGTTTCAAAACCCATTCAAAGAAAAAAGTTTGCTCCACTCTTAGAGGGATGGAAATATCTTACCCTGCAAAGAAACATTTTTCCTACTATTTTGGCAGGGCTTAACTATCATGCAGCCTTGTGTAGGTGATGACATCCGAGTCAGCTAAGCCCAGCACAATCAGGAAAGTAGATTAGGCACTTAAGCTAATTTTCATTGCAGCAACAATCGTATTTCCTCAGAAACACCAAGTATTTGGAAATGACAACATTGTTCTCTTTTGATGTATACTTACTCGAATGATTAATCTAACTGCTACAACACCAGAAGTGGCCATGACTTTGGCACTATTTGGAATTAGATTAAAAATTGTTGGCATGATGGCTTCTGCCCCATGGTCAAACTTGTTTCCCAGAACTGATGACAAATGTCTGAAAAACAGAATGAAGTCATGCTGGTAAATGTGCTGAGGATTAAGCAAGTCAGACTTCTACAGAACATCTGACATAAGCACATCTGACATCTCAGTCTTCACAACTGTCACCTCCTCTCTAACTCCAAAGGACAGAGAGCACCATGTTTCAAAAAATAGTTCCTTTACTTTCATTTCAAACTGGTGTTCTGTATTCATCTGAACTCTGAGAAACAGTAAGTTCAGCATAAAATAAAGTAACTAGCACAGCTAAAAATCTATTATCAAATAGGATCATGCTGAAAGAATGTATTTTTCTGAACAGGTTAGTTTGTATCACAGTTTCTCTGAAACTGCTTATTTTGCCTTAATATGCACAAATTAAAAAAAAAAAAAAAAGCTTTTAGAAACACTGCAGTGCCCTTTTTCTTGAAGCACTTCACAAAGGATAAGCTATCAAAACTCAAAACTAGCTCAATCTGAACCAGAACAAAACACATACATTTTTGGCTTTATTCTTCAGTCCTTCTCTACTTGGTGCATGAACGCATGGCTTGCTCATTCATTCAGCATATCTCAAGTCTGCATAGTTTAAAACTCAGGAACATCGTTTGGCAGAACTACAATTAGTGACATACATGGACGTAGTTTTAAAAAGCCATAGCAAAATCATGTTCTACCTATAACTATGCAGTGCTAGCAGCACGAGTTATATCCCAAATGTGTTTTAACCACTGTCTGTTCTTTTTTTTCTATGTTACATTTCAAGAGCATTGAGAAAGTAAACTTACCCCAATGTGATACAAGCCTCTCTTACTACTTGAGACCGCAAGTCTTTAGCGGATAATTTGAACGCTCCATCCAAAAGTCTTAAGTGTTGGAAGAAGTTATCGTATTCTGCAGCTCCAGCCAAAAGTAAGGAGCGGATCTTTTTCAACTGTTAGCACCATAAAAGAAAGCAGTGACTGTTAATATGCTGTTAACAAGAACAGTTGTGTTCAGGGCTGATACTTGGTTACAAGGGTCCTTGTATAATTTTCTTCAACATGCGTTGAGGAACACCGTTCTTACAGTCCAAGCTATTTTATCATTTCAGACCTTATCGTCAACTCCTAAGTTAACGTACTAAGTATGCTAATACACACACACTAGCTGTTACAGGAATCCAGAAGTGTTGCAGACATTTACTTGAACTGTATTGTTAATAAACCGAAGATATCTTAAAGGTTCTCCTCTATTCCCCTTAGAAACCACCTATTTACAATAGCTTCTAAAACTGAGGTCCTCTCACAGCTGACTATCGTATTAAAAAGATGACTAGACTTAAAGGCCATGGCTCATACTCAGATCTGAGTAATACCACTGTAAATATCTAGAATATGTCCATTGACTTCATTAAAATAATTATCTGGGTCTACTAGAAGTAGAGCCCTGATCCCAGCAAAATGTAAAATTTTCTATTAATATTACAGGGATCGCCATTTCAGCCTATAGACGTTCTTTTGGACACCTTGACAGGCCCTCACGTATACTGATGTATCTGTACAGTGCCCCGATTTAAGTTCGCTGTTACCCAGTACAGCAAATAAAAAAAAAACCAGAAGCAAGCTGAATCAGCAGTTTGCCACTCAGATCTGCAATACAGGATTTGACAAACATGTCAAAGTTGCTACACCAGTGATGAAAAAATCTACAGTGTAGACAAGATCATGCATCTATTTATATCATGAAAATGCAGCTCACCTCAGTAAACAAAACTCATTCTTGGCATGCATAGAACATATCTGATTTTCCACTTCCACGTTTCCCACATTCATATTTATTTATTCAAAACCTAAGCATGTAAATTCTTTCTGAATTATTTTACACCTCCTTTTGCAAAAGCATAAGTAAGTTCTCTGTAAGCAAAGTGACTTTCTGCCTCATCAGGAACTTTTAAGATATTCTGAATACCACTTTTGCCATCTTGGTTTTAGCATCTGCTAGCAAATTTCTAGCTTACATCTGGATCTGCCGGTTCCAGTTCAACTTGATGCTGTCTCAACAGATTCTTGTATATTAAATAGCATTTTCCTTCACAGATGTGGTTTGAATTCAGTCTCATAAGAAAATACTTCCCCCAAGCTTGGGGGAACATGACAGATGCTCACCACTTAAACTACATGCTAGCCTTACTCTGAGGTTCTCCCAGTACCCTTTTCCTGGGATTAAGCTCAGTGCAGAAAACAACTTTATTAACAGAGTTCATATTTAAGTTCACCACTTACCGCAGAAACTCTCTGTTCCCAGTCGTGCTTATCATCTGATAGTATCTCTCTTATTTTGTTTATGGATTCCTCAAGATCCCGGCTGGAATAAATCTGCAAATTTAAATACAAAGTAGCACCATAATGCAAGATTTACTCCAGAAAATCAGATCACTTCCCAACTATATTCTTACATCCTTTGCTCCTCAATGCTTAAATGTCATGTCCTAGCTTTGGACACAGCTGGCTTTGCATAATGCAAAAAATTACCAAAGAAATACCCATTTCCTGCAATGAAAAACTGCTAAATGATCACAAGATGATTAAAGCATCATTTTTTATTATTTTACTATATTTTCACAATTTTAAGCAGCATTCTTGCAGCTACTAGTGGCACTATTAGTCAAGACCTACAGAAGATCATGAGTGGATACATGTGCTGTTCAGCTGTCCCAAAAATAAAGCTCTGGTGAAGGGGCGGGGATATGTAACACATCTCTGCTATATCCATCAGCAAACACGCACTGTCAAGTTGTTGCACTCACAACAGCAGCCATCCCAGAGACACAAGTCGCTTTTATTGCTTCCAGTTCCCAGATGGTACAGATGAAATACAGAGGCTTCTGCTGACTTAAGTTTTGATTGACCAGACTGCATTGTGCAGCATGCATGTCCAGTTCCAGCTCCGTGTCCGCTCCTGTGGTACCTCTACCACAACGCCCCCACTCCCATTCCCTCCACTTCTGAGAGTTTCACACAAACTACTGGCAGATACCACCATTTAAAACTTGCCTGCCTCCAACTTCCAACTTGCCTTCCCCTTAAAGAAGATTTGTCAACACCACAATGAAGCACAATTTGCCAGCCATTAGGAGTAGATCCTACAACTGTCTTTTGCATTTTAGCACTCTGTGTTTTAATACGTAATTCTACTTACCTGAACCGTTGGGACATCTTCAAATGCCTTAATAAAGTCTTCTTCATCCACAGCACCTGCTCCCTCTTTGGCTGCTGACATACAAATAAAAAAAGCCTCCTCTTATCAAAAAGAGAATCAATTAAGAAACCACCAGCTATCAAGGCACCTAATCAGGAGAAAGTTCACTATCCATGCAGCCTCCGAGTGCTGCAGATGTAATGAAAGCAGAGACAGTGAAATTCAACGCCAGGCACAGACTAGACATTCACAGCATCATTCAGCTCCTAGGCACAGAAGGCACATTAGAGAAGTCATTACAGTAGTCAATCAACAGTTAGGGGACACAGTCTGAAAGATGAAAGGGAATATTTACTTTAATTATACGGGAGATTTTATTTTAAAGGATTTAATCCCATCTATAATACATGAAGATGCAGATCTGACAGGTGCACAAACAGACAAATGGTAAGGAAGATAAATAGTCTCTGGAATACTAATCAGATTAGAGACTGTCCGATATAGGGAACTTTCTCCATTTCTCCAGATCACGTGTAGAATTATAATCATGTGTAGAATTACCACTCACATTCAGAATTACTGTTCAGTTTTCTTCCTGCACCTTCATTACCAGCAATGGCCAAATGGTTTTAGAAGAAAGTCAGTGCATCAGTTTTAGATTGCATGGGCTGAAGTTTAGCGTTTAGCATGTAGCTGTAAGCAGCCTCCCTCAGTTCAGCTAAAAAGTTGCAGCTATAAAGACAAAAATCTATACACTGCAACGTTGACAGGATTTACTCACCGCCCTCAGTGCATAACCACACAGGTCCAATCTTTCACAGATGCAAAATGCATTATAGGGATGTGGGGACTTGGAGATTCATGCTACCAGTGTTTGGTCACGGCATGCAGACAACATACACGTAATGATTTCAAAGGGAAAAATTTGTTACTGGATCCTGGGGCGCCAGTCTGGAAGTCCTTGCGATAAGCTCAAGCATGAACACTATAAATACTTCACATAAAGGTCAATTCATATGCACTATCTGCTTACTTGAAGATTTGGAGCCCAGAGCTGCAGACCCAAGTCTGCGGGTAGTCCCCATCCCAACTCTGCGTGAGTTTGCAGGGGCCTTTGAAGATGTAGAGGAGCTAGCTGAGGAAGGTCTGTTCCCATCCACGGAGTCTTCATCATCAAAAATTTTATCTGCCAAAAGAGTACACTCAGCTGTAAGTCCAATGAAGCAAAGGGTTGTACCAAGGAACATGTTCATGCAAGGGCAAACATGCTGCGTGTTCAGGTCTGCTCTGCCAGCTCTCATCTCAGCAGTGTCTTCATGCTAAACATCTGATTATTCACGAATGACCACCAGACCACTGAACCAAATCCTTTGCTACTGCAGCCACTATGTTATAAACCCTTTCAATGAATGCACTCAGATAAAAAGAATAAACTTCAAATCTATAGCAGAAAGATGCAAGCCACAGGTAATATTTGGGGTATCTACAGTCTGTATCTCTGACACCTATGCCTCAGAGTTATTTTGCCATGGGCTGTACTGAAACTAAGATCATGAGCAAATATAAGTGTGGGGGGCACCAAGCAGCACAGGCTGCCCTGTCACACCCTGCTAACTGCCTGCATTAGACTGAGAATAAACAGGGTAACCCAGGAAAGATCGCATGTCAACACCCATGCTGTTGATACATCATAGACCATTAATCACAGATCCATCCAGAGCTATAAAACTTTTTAAGTGATCACCAAAGATTCTTTACAAGGAAACAGAAAAGTTACCTCAATTTCCTAAAACCCATAAATATAAGGCGTATTAAAACTTATTGAAGCTTTGTGTACACACAAAGGGAACTGCAGCCTCTACCTCCAAATGTGAACATAATTGAACCTAAAATGAATTACAGTCACTTTGATTTCCAGTGAAGGTCACTTTAATTCCAAAGGAGTGCTTATATTGCAGTTTTACACAGATTAGCTAATCCACTTTAAAAACTGGCCACAGGTTGAAAGGTGACAAAGTGTTTGGACAGCTAATATAGATAGCGCACATCATTTACTGAGGCCAGAAAGCCACCTCAGTCCCCTTCACTTAGCTTCTCCACACTAACACTTCATTCAAGATTTGAGCCCTGCTTCATGTCCACCCCTCTCCAACAGTCCAAGGTACACACCCACTCTCCACCCGCAGGAACATTTCCCTCCCAAAATTTCACTCGGCAAAAACTCGATCAGGTGCTTCAGTCCATGCCTATTCAGTAAAGCACCTGGGAACATCTGGTAACAAATATAGGCTTCTACTAGAAGTTAAATTCAATACAGATTGAACTTTCTGAAAGTAAAAAAGTAAACAGATAACAGTATAGACATATTCTAAGGGAGGCCAAAGAACTGAAAGAAAAGCCTGTATTGTCCTCAGCCCAACAGCCTTAAGAAGTCTTCCCTGCTCCAAGTGGTATTGGCTTATTAGCAGCTGGACATAGGAGAACCATCACAGATCATCCAAAAACCTAAAAACCGCATTTACAGTAAGCACCTGTGCACACAATGCCACGTTCCGACGCCAGCACAACACTGAAATGGCAGGTAGGCAGCAGCATCCAACAGGTTAAGAAAGGCAGCCAAGGATATCTCTCCCCTTAATTTTGATGTCAAGAACTCTTGGAATACGGGAAAAGGTTAGGAAAAAAGTAAGATCTAAAGCAAAGGGGTAACATAATAACAGGTACTCAGACTATTCAGGCAAAAGTGAACATATAAATTCTAATATCAAGAAATTTAAGGTGTCACAGCCAAGGAGAACAACCTAAGTCACATTTAGGATGTGGGCTTTCTCTAACACAGTGCCCTAAGGCAGCCATGGAGACCGTGCTACCTCCCTACTGACACTGGTCATGTTCTGTATTAGTAATTCAAAAATAATTTGAAAAGAGCTCAGGAAAGAACCATAAGAATGATTAAAGGATTGGAAAATACGTTTTTAATTCAATTAAATGAAAATTCGCTGCAGGACACTTTAGCCTGGCCAGATTCTTAACAAGTTGCTTGATTATATTATGTGTTAACACAGCAACTCAAGTTTTATTAACATAGTTTTCCATTGTGATTTATTAATATTGTTTCTCACCTAATAGAAAAACACAGAACAAGGCCACTGGCTGGAGGTTAAAAACAAATTAAATTCTGACTTGCCTTTTTTTTTCACCTTCCCTTTCCCACCCCCACCTCCCCCCACTCCATTTTTTGCAATAGTCACAGGATTGACTCTCTGCAAGGTTAGGAGGTGTGTCACACAGTGAATTCTGTCACAGGCAGCTCTTAAAAAGCCAAGATTGATTTTTTTTTTCCTGATAAATAAAGTCTAGTTAAAACAGAAATTATTTCAAAAACATTATTTGGCGAGAGTTGCACAGAAGGCTGTGACAGAACAAAACAGACTTTAAAATATGTAAACTCTGAAGGCTCTAGGAAGGGGTTTAAGTGATGCAGAAAGACTTGCACAGACCCTGAATACAAAAACTTTGAGCAAAATCTGCCTCGATTGCGTGTATTTCAAAATCTCCTATCTAGATAGTAATCAAATCATTATTTGCCCTATATATATTACGAGCCAAGAGAAAGTCATATTCAAAACGAGAGATACTTTACTACTTCAAAACCACTTTCATCTGGTAATAACATTCTCCACCAGCTGCATTTCAGACTACCTAGATGCAGTGCTAGTTAACTGACTTCCTCTTGCATCTGCATTTTTAAAGCCTCACCCCGCTGAAAGGAGAAGAGGGTGTGGTTTGCTATTTCATATAATAAATAAAAATTCAGAAAAAATATATTAAAAGGATCGCACCCCTGTAGCATTTTAGCAATTAAAATAAATTATTGTTTTTATTTAAAACAGGCTTTTCTGAGAATCGTCAAAAAAACCAACGCTCCAAAAAAAACCAACCAGCCTGCCCACAGTTTTGGGGATGTTCAGATTACAATCACATCTTCCTGTTCATTAAGTCTACAAATGAAGCATTATGTATTTATCAAATCAGAATATCCCTTCAATAACCCAATAGTGTTTTCTCATCTGAGCAGTGCAGAAAGACAGTGCCACATTCAGAACTGCACATCAAGTCTTCCAGCAGCACGTGTGCAGGACAGAAAGAGAAACAAAGAACAGAAAGAAACCTGAACATGGAAGTACAGAAAATAAGAGAAAAAACAAGCTGCTATACATCATCATTAAAAAGACTTTTTTTTTCCCCCCTATTCACTGACTCCTGTCACAATAATCATTTGAACTAGCATCGTATTTTTTTTGCAGCCTATCTGCAAATCACAAGGTGGTAAATTCAGCATGGGTGTAACTCTCATGACCCCAGCAGAGGTGCACTGAAGCGGAATCAGTGCCGCGTTCTAATATTAAATAACCATTGATGCTCTCCCATCCCAAGACCCCCCCAGTGCTCATTTATAAGGGCCATATAGTACTCTCCATCAGAGACATGCCCTTATAAAAGAGGCCTTTGTCTGCTCACCATTCTGGTGTCTCAGAGAAACAGGGAACGCAATTTGCTTTACATTTTTCAATTCTTTTACATTATTTAAGAAGAAAAAAAAATTGCTTACAAGTACATATCCTTCTGCAAATAAGCTTCCTCAACATTCCTTCATATTTTCCATAGCGTGCCCAGATGTAACAGTGCTTCACAGAGTGCCGCGGCTCTCAGTCCAGAACATAATCAATCATTGCCCCTTGTATTCATTAAGCATGCTGTCTTCACACGTGGATTTAAACAGCTATGGCTTCAGTCCTCTCTCTACGACTGCAGCTCTGCAGGATTCTCATCAACACCCATTGCAGCCCACGAAACTTTGGTTCACTTCTAGGAAGGAAATTCCCAGCTAGCAAGGGGAACCTGGGACAAATAATCCAGGATGAAGACGAGCTGAGTCTGTCTGTCGGGGCTGGCTTGCACTAGGAACCAGCCTGACTTTATCCCCTGGGAAGCGCTAACAGGAGCATCTCAACAGCTGTCATCGTTTGTCCATGACGAATAAATTTAGTCATTATTCATTTTTAAATGTAACCCCTTCAGGTCTGGCCAAGGTGTAAAATGGGGAGAAGAGACTGTGACAGTGGTTCAGGAAGCACAGTAAACAAGGGCCAGCATTTCCCCTGCCTGAACCACCAGCCTGGGACCTTTTAAAGCAAAGCAATCAAGTCTCAAATTTCCTTTCCAATGAAAGGAGATGCGTTATAGCCTTTAAAAAGCTGTAAGATGACAGATTCAAATCTTTTAGTTATTTGTCTGTAAGCTACTCTGTAGTGACTATAGATTGGGAAAAAAGCTTATGGTCATGTCTGTTCCTAACAAAGATGTCCTGCTATCATCTTCAGGTCTGACTCCGCAAGGTACTGAACTTGTTCTGGCCCCACTGGGCTCATTTATCATATGTCCCATCTCCAAGCATCAGTGCAGCTGAAATATGCAACACCATGAATTCAACTTGCAAGTATCACCTGCATCTCTCTCATGAGAATCTCCCTTTTGGGTGCAGAAAAACCTGGACAGCACCAGAGAAACCTGCCTTCCCACCCACCACATGGTGTCCTGCACCAGGAGTGGACACACAACTGCTAAAACTGACGCACATTTCAGCCCATCTAAACCCCATGCTCAACCCCTACTAGGTGGACAAAGCCCAACTCCCTGAAGACCTGAGAGCCCCCTGTAAAAGCTGAGAACACACACACGCAAACCCACTGATGCCAAAGAAAACAGGGTATATTCCTCCTTACTCCATTCTGCCAGACACGATCACATATGCATCAGTCAACGTTTGCGAAACAGACACCCCCTGGGCACCCTCAGCTGATGCCCTCCTCCAAAGCCAGCATCTGGCAGCCCCGCCTCCAGCTGCGACTCCTGCAGAACACGAGGCATAGCTCACTCCTCTCTGTAGGTGTCCCACCTGCCTCCAAGCGAGACAGCTTCAGCTGAGGTTAAATGCCTCTTCCCATCAGCAGACGCCAGACCCCTGTATGGCTTATCTGCAAGCCTGCCCAACTCTGTAGGTATTGTATAGGTTTCTCCAGGAAAATGGGTTTATGAACACACCAAAATACAAGGACATGTATATGCTCCTCAGCACACTCAGTAAGTGTTTAAAAACAAAGGAGTCGCAGCCACAAGCAGAAG